AGCTGTATTTCCCATAAACTCATAAAACATTAAACTCTTCTGAAAAGTGATCAGCTGGTTTATAAGAACAAAGGTTCAAGTAAGTACAAGTTCCCTCACAGCAAGGGTCTCGAATCTGTTTCTGTTCAGGGAGATGCCACAGAAGTGTAGTGGCTTTGCAGTCAGACACCATGGTTCATTTTTTGTTCTTAGTGTGGTGAATTTGAGCAAGTAACAACATATCTCATATATGATTAAGGGATATGAGACATCAGTGAATGCTCTAAAACAATAGATGTTTTTAACTGTTAGAGAACACATGTATGTTTAACAAAAGTCTCCTTTTTGTTATTTTGTAGGGAGGTGGGGATGAGAACAGGAATGCTGCAAATGGCCAGACATTAATTAAAAATTGCTATGTGGGGGCTGGAGAAATGGCTCAGCAGTTAAGAACATTAGCTGCTCTTCCAGAGGACATATCAGCTAACAACTGTCGGTAAATCCAGTTCCAGAGGCTCTGACACCCTCTTCTGTTCTCTGTGGGCATTGCACACACGTAGTACATGAAAATACATGCAGGCAAAACACTCATACATGATAAATAAATAATCAAGGGGCTGGAGAGATGGCTCAGCAGTTAAGAACACCAGTTGTTCTCGCAGAAGACCCGGGTTCGAATCCCAGAACCCACGTGGCAGCTAACAACTGTCCGTAATTCCAGTTCCAGGGGATCCGATGGCTTCTTCTGTCCTCTGAGGACATTGCATGACATGGATGCACTTACCTACACGCAGGCAATACATGCATACACACAAAATAAAAATAAATCTTAAAAAATAATCAAATAAATGAATGAATGAATAATTTAAAAACATTAAAATTTATTTTAAAAAATTGCTGTGTGGCGAGTTTCAGGGCAGTTTCATGTGGTCAGTTTTAGGCTGAAGTACTTTTTATTCAGTACTGATGGAGCCACATGGTAAACCAGACAAATCTGCACCACAGGATTCCTGTGAGGCAGTTTAGGGAAGAGAGAACTGTAAATGCCAGAGCCGAACCTGCCTTTGGTTCCGCTGAAGGTATAATGGAAGACTGAGTGTCAGTGAGACATAAGCACTCTAAATTGTCTAGAAAATAACCGTAACATATATAGACACTTCCCTTGGGTGACTGTTAAACCTAGCCCCCTCCTTCAACCTGCCTGTTTTACCCCTTCTCCCAGATTGAGTCAGCGCTATCCCATCTGTTGGCTTCCTGCCTCTTGAAGCCCTATTATCCCGAGGTTGGTAAATCTCTTGTGACAGTGCCAGTGCTGGAGCTGTTAAATCATGGGGCACCAAAATGATTTCCAAGCCACTGAGAAACAAGTATAAACACACAGGAAGATCTATCAGCCACCCCTAATTTTCATTGGAATCTATCAGATTAGAATGATAAGAAAATTGAGATAACCAAACAGTTTATCATCACAACTTGTTACTGTGACTCATATTTGTTTAATGTAAGTTCTGTGGATACTGCTGCTTAGACTTACATTTTTACTAACTTTTATTGAAGTATAATACACATATAGAAAAATAGAATTTACATTTTAAGATCATTAACTAGTGTCATGTGACCACACCTGTATTATTAATTTTCATGACCTAAAATAGTTACAATGGTGAATTCACAATGCTAGAACATTCTCAGGATTACCTTGAATTTCTCATCTGCCTGCCTATATCACCCAAGTGCTGATATTACAGGTGTGGTCCACATTTGTGCAGTGCTCAATTGAACCCAGGGTTTTGTGCACTCTACTGACTGGGAGCTATAGCCCAGCCTCCACTCTCAGTTTTAAAGTAGTATTAAATTCAGTTGTGCTGAGCTGTATCAGGCTTAGTTCTTAGAGCACGGCATGCATGGCATAGTACATTGACCAATGAGCTTTATGATGCTTGGACAAGTTGACAAGTTGAACTAAGGATAAACTTCACTGTAGACTTATATATTTGTACATGTGTGTGCATGCATGTCTGTGTGTGCAGCTTATGGCATTTTAAATTCTGTTAACTACAAAGAATGAAAAGATTGTGCAACAGAGTTGGATGGGAAACAATTCCTGAGATAGAGATCAAATTTTGTTTATAAAACCCATTATTGGCAGCTTCACTATCAGTCACTTCCTGTGGGGATTTTTCACAGGGAAATACTTTTATACCTTGACTACTCATGAAATAGCCTTAGGTCTATGTAATAAAAATACTCTGGAACTATCAGTAGTAATGTATGAACATCACAGTGTAACACTGAGATTATTTTAAAAACTGTGTGATCTAGTCATCACTGAAAGAATTTTAAAACAACATAAATACACTATGGTCTAGTGGACAGTTGAGCAATAGCCTAGAGAGTTTGGTTTTTCTTTTTGGTCTTTTTGAGACAACCTGGAACTCACTATAGACCAGGCTGGCCCCAAACTCTCAAGAGATCTAACTGTCTCTGCCTGTAAGTGCTGGGATTTAAAGTGTGTGCCACCACGCCCCTCTCTAGGCTATTTGTTTTCTATAAAATTGCTGTTAATTGAAAAATGTGTATCATGGAGCTGGAGACATGGCTCAGCGGTTAAGAGCACTGACTGCTCTTGCAAAGGACCTGGGTTTGATTCCCAGCACCCACATGGCGGCTACAAACCGTGCTTAACTCCAGTTCCAAAGGAATCTGAAGCCCTCTTCTGACCTCTGAGGCACTGCACGACATGGGTGCACTCACATACATGCAGGCAATACACTCATACACAAATAATACATACAAAATAAAAATAAAGAAAATATTTTTTTTAAATGTGTATCATGTACAGTATTTAGGATGTTGCATTTATGCTACATGAGAAATCCAGCAACTGGTTGTAGTTTCTGCCTTTAGGAAAAGTATGAATTCAGAATTTTCTGACAAAGGAGACAGGGCATGTGTATGAATTGCATAAAATAAACAACAACAACAACAACTGCTCCCTGAAAAATATTCAAAGTATAAATATACCAGTGTGTGTGTGTGTCAGGGGGGAGTAGGAATAAAGCACTGTTGGCGTTTGGTAGAGCTTGAGCTCATTCTTGTTTTATTTTTCTATGTTTTTATTTATTTTGTGTGTGTGTGTGGGTGTTGTGGTGGTCACAAAACAACTTGTTTCAGTTGGTTCTTGCCTTCTACCATGTGGGGCCTGAGGGTAGAGCTTAGATTTGAACTCAGGCCATCAGGCTTGACAACAAGCACCTTTATCCATTTTATCTAGCCAGTCTGCTTGCTTGGTATTTTTTGAGACAAGGTCATACCAAGTAGTCCAGGCTGTTTTCCATCTCCCAATCCTGCTGCCTCAGTGTCCCTCCCTAGTGCTGAGATTACAGGTGTATATTACCTACCACTCCCAGCAGAGGACTGGTAAGGTTTTTACAAATATATGCAAAGGAAATTATTCTAGGAGGCAGAGAGATAAGCACTAACAAAGGTAGAATAAATCAAAGTGAATTTAGAGGCTGAAGTCTTTGGTACACAAAACAACACAACTTATAGAAGAAAACTGCTAGAAATAAGTTAGGACCAAGCTATTTTACTGCCTTAAAGATTTATTTTATGCCAGATGTGGTGGCACACGCCTTTAAACCCAGCACTCGGGAGGCATTGGCAGGTGGATCTCTGTGAGTTCGAGACCAGCCTGGTCTACATAGTGAGTTCCAGGCCAGCTGGAGCTATAGGGAGACCCTGTCTCAAAAAACAAAAACAAAAACAAAAAAACAAAAAAAAAAAACCCAAAAGATTTATTAACAATCAAAATTTTTTTTACTATTGTTTTATGTCAATGACTGTTGCATGTATGTAAGTGCATCTGTGTTATGCCATACCCTCAGAGACCAGAAGAGAGAGTTGGATCACCTGTAACTGGAGTTAGTGACGGTAGCCACCATGTGGGTACTGGGAACCAAATCCAGGTCCTGTGCAAGAGCACCAAGTGCTCTTAACCTCTGAGCCATCTCTCCAGTCTACCACGTTTTTGCTTTTATTCTGTAATGCACTGTTTACTCAGCTACAACTTTTTGAGGACTGATCTACTGGGTGCGACTATGTGGTAGGTATTAGTACATTATGAGTAGCTCAAATGGCATTCCTAGTGCATAAAAACTACAAAGCATGCCTAAAACAGGGATGGTGGTAAACGGATTCCTAGTGATCACTGACTGACGAGCCAGTAAATATGGCCCAAGGGGTACTTCAGCTTAGCACTGCTACTCTGACCATGGTATTTCCTATTTTGGGGAGAGCTGGTATTTCCAAATTACATTGTTTTCCAATTTCGATTCAGTTGTTTCTAAACACTGTATGAACCAAAGAGTCCTCATTTTTACATTTGAAAACGGTAAACCTGCATTTTTAATTTGATAGTTTTGTACCCAGGGACGTTGATATTCATGACTCCACGTTTTGGTTGACGTAGGAATTAGTGTTGGGAAAAAAAATCTTTATTGCAAAGGAATCGCTGCAAATTTCCTTTAAGCAACTCTCGATGCCGAGAACTGGTCTGAGCATCTCTGCAACCTCGCCCCAGTGAGATACACCTGCACTTGTAGTACTTTGTCCGTCAAAACAATCTTTGTTTCCCCTCAAGCTAGGACTTGTAGCACGGGAGACACGCCTCGAGCCTCGGTGGCAAAGGGGAGGGGCTGGCGAAGGTGGAGGGGTGGCAGCAGGAGCGCACTTTTCCTTTCTCTAGCAGCGCAGCCTCACCTTCCAGCTCCAGCGTTCCCTACATCACCCTCCAGCCCCGCCCGGCGCGCTCACCGGCTGGCTCCGCCCCCGGCCCCCCCCCCAACCCGACCTCCGCCCTTCTGGCCCCGCCCCTCCGCTCGGCCTCCGCCCCCCGACCCTACCTGCGCTGGCGCCCACCTCTGGAAAGCCGCGCAGCTCGCGCGCCCCGTCGCGGCCCGGGTTCCCGGGCATGCGCGTTGCGGCGCCGGCTCCCTCCCCCACGCCTTCGCGCTGCAGAGTTATGCCAAGTATGTGAGGAGCCGACGAGGGCCCGCGGCGGTCATGGTGGGCCGCCGTCGCCGTCCCCGCGCTGGCGACTGGCCGGGCTGCTGAGGCGGAGGGGATGGCGGAGCCCCTGAGGAGGACGCTGTGCAGGCTCCGGGAGAAGCGCACCACCGGGGGGCCCCGGGCCGCCTCGTTCGCGTCGCCTCGCGAGCCCGCGGGCCCGCGCCTGGAGCAGCCTGCGCCGGCTCCCAGAGCGCGGGGTCCCGAGGAGCAGCCGGGGGCGCGGGTGCCGCAGGAGGCCGCAGACCCCGGCTGCGCTCCTCGCCACGTAGGCGCGGGCTCCGAGGGCAGCGGGGAGGACGAGGACGAAGAGGACGCCGACTACTACGAGAACATGCCCGCCGGCTGCGCTCCCGAGGGGGCGGGGGCGCGGCGGCCGGCATGGCCTGTCCGGGCGGCGGGCTCCTTCCCGGGGGCGGAGGGCGGCCGGAGGGAGACCGGCCGGCTACAGACCCAGTTGCGGGAGGCCTACTATCTGCTGATCCAGGCCATGCACGACCTGCCCCCTGACTCGGGCACGCGGCGGGGCGGCCCCGTGAGAGCCCGGGCTCGGGGCCAGCCTCCTCCTGTTCCCCGCAGCCCGCGGGGCCGGGAGCCGGGCGCCGGGGCCCGCCCTCCGCAGCAGGTGTCCCCGCCCCGGTCGCCTCCGAGGGAGCCCGGGGGCGGGCGGCCGCTCAGTCCGCAGAGGCTACTGTCCCGCAGCTGGAGCCTCGAGAGCCTCCGCGTGCGCGCCCAGCCGCCGGGGCTCCAGCGGTGGCCGAGCGACAGCTGGATCCGGTGCGGGGCGCACGGGGACCCGGACGAGCCCCCGCCACGTGGAGGCAGGATGGACGTCTGGAGCGGGGGCTGCGGTCGGGGTGCATCGTCCGCCGCTCTCCTGCCCGGCGGCTGCCGGTACCCTAGCCACCTCTCGGGAAGCGGCTTCAGGGCCGCCACGGGGCCCTCGGGGACACGCAGCAGCAAAGAGGACCGCGCCGAGGGGCTGCGCTTCCTCCAGCCGCCCGCGGTGACGGTCAGGAAGTTGCAGAAGTGGATGTACAAAGGACGCCTGCTGTCCCTGGGGATAAAGGGTCGCGCCCAGGGGACGGCACCCGGCATCCGCGGAGCGCAGGCAACCTCTCCAAATTTGGACTCTTGGAAAGTGCACAAAAACCACGGCCTCCCAGTGACTCCGGACCCGAGGATCACCTTGACAGGTAGGAGACTTGCGGGCGGTGGGAACGCAGCCGCGGTGTTTTCGAGTGACTGTGTCATGCATTTAGGGTCCCCCCCCCGTCTTGCCTTCTTTTTCTATTGATCCCCCCCTTTAGAGAGCCAGCGTGCCTGCTCCCTTAGGACCCCGGTGAGTAAAGGTTAAGCCCAAAGCTTGCTTTCTCCGTGGGGGTTCAGATGCGGCGTGCCTCGAGTTTTCTCTGTAATTCCAGGCAAATCCAGAGAGGTGGGAAGTTCGTGAATTTGAATTCGATCCAACCTAGATATTTACAGGCTTCATAAATTGTCATTTACTCTTTACGTTCCTTTTTTTTTCTTCTTTCCCAGGTGCTCACACACACATTCTCCATCGAGCTCAGGCGGACACACACACACACACACACACACACACACACACACAGAGACTCGCGCGCATGCACGCACGCACACAATCCAAACAAAACAAACACAAAGTCGCAGATTTCTTTCACTTGGGGGTTCAGATGCGGCGTGCCTCGAGTTTTCTCTGTAATTCCAGGCAAATCCAGAGAGGTGGGAAGTTCGTGAATTTGAATTCGATCCAACCTAGATATTTACAGGCTTCATAAATTGTCATTTACTCTTTACGTTCCTTTTTTTTTTTTCTTTCCCAGGTGCTCACACACACATTCTCCATCGAGCTCAGGCGGACACACACACACACACACACACACACACACACACACACACAGAGACTCGCGAGCATGCACGCACGCACACAATCCAACCAAAACAAACCCAAAGTGTCAGATTTCTTTCACTTCTGGAGAAACCAAAGATACTAGTATTTAATGAAAAGAGCGATCACTCCTGTACTTAAAAAAATTAAGAGTCCTAGCTTGAAAACTTGAAGAAACTCCATTTGTAGTAGAAATAGTGAATTTTTATGCTTCTTGGCTCCTTTGTGCATGTTTTCTATTTATCAGTGAAGTTTTAGGTTATCAGCTTTAGAAATCTTTTAATTATGTTGTAAATGTAAAAAGTTCTTTTGTGAAAGAAAATTAAAGCCATGTGACCTTTCGAATTACACTCAATATAAAAACTTTTTTAGGGAATGTAAAGGCCTACTTGTTAGTAATAGTTTAAAAATGCTAAGTGCTGAAATGTAAATCAATATTTAAGGTTTCACTAGTAAGAATTAGACTTTCAGGAGCCCTGTAATCTGAGCATTAGGGAAGCCGAGGCAGGCTGATGATCTCTGAGTTGGAGGCCAGCCTGGTCTACATCGCAAATTCCAGGCCAGCCAGAGCCATGTAGTGAGACCTTGTCTCAAAAAAAGAAAAATCACACATCCCACAGGACTAGGTTAGCACATGCTAACTTTATTTAACCAATAAACACAACTGTAGGGAGAAACAAAGTTCACAAAAGATCCAGCCAAACTGAGAATAAGTCAGTGATGGAGTCAGACAGTTTTTTTGGATCTGTAAATCTCTGCATCTAAATTCCATACTTAACATTTTGTGTTCTATTGGAGTGAGGAGTGGTAGTCGGTGGAGAGAGGTGCCCATTATACTAAGTTCCCATAAAAGCAGGTTTCTGGGTTTGACATATTCATAATTACATATTTCATTGTCACAATATTTTAGCTCCCTTGATTTTGGGTAATTTACCTCTGTATGACAGTTAAATTTCAGTCATAACAAAAATCAGTGTAAACTTTTACTCATGTTTTTTACTCTTTTGTTGCTGTTGTAAATTATTTACCATCTAATGACTTCAGTAATAGTGTAAATATTCAAGAATTTAAATAGGCGCATTTCCTGAAAGAATGAATTCAGTACTTTTTCATTATGACATTAAATGTGAAACTGCTAACATCAAAAGAAATTAAAACCAATCACTACAATTACTATGGCAATATTTTGTAAGAAATCTAAGCTAATGCTGCTGTAATTTCCAACCTAAACTTTTTCCTCTGTTTCTTTTATATCATACATTCATCGTTAGGAAGCATGATAGTAATTTGTGTCGTTTTAGGTGTCTAGTATATAGATTGGTGGAGTTTTCCAGCCCAGTTTTATGAAAAGAGTTTGTGTTAGGTCCTTCTGGGATCTTTATGTAGTTCTTAGGCTAGTTTTACACCCACTGTCTACCCTTACAAGATGAGATTGTTGTCATTCCACAACCACAGAGGAAGGTAGGGTCTGGGGTTTGCTGAGGGCTTCTCAGTGGTACAGAGATTCAGACTATTACGTGGATTCAAACTCAGTTCTCCAAAAATCTCAATTACATAAGGTCAAAGAGACTCCAAAGTTCTTTAGGGACTTGATCTAATTAATTGTATTAAGTTGCTTGGACTGAGGAAATGGATGGAATTTCAACAATGTTTAGAGGGCAAGTAACTTCCTGCAAAGAAGTGGGGAATTCTAAAATAGGTTTTAAAACTTTCCAGGGAATTAAATGCTATATTCATTTTAAACCTTTTAAAATGTTTATTTGCGGGGCTGGAGAGATGGCTCAGCGGTTAAGAACACTGGTTGTTCTTGCAGAAGACCCGGGTTCACATCTCAGCACCCACATGGCAGCTAACAGCTGTCCATAACTGCAGCCCCAGGGGATCTGACAGCTTCTTCTATCCTCTGCCGGCACTGCACATGACATGGGTGCACTTACCTACATGCAGGCAATGCATGCATACACATAAAATAAAAATAATAAAATTTAAAAAAAGTTTAAAATATTTATTTGCTTAATGTTGTTACTTGGAGCGTTCTTTTGAGTCGTTTTGTTGGGCTGGTTATGTAGCTTGGTGGTAGAGTATATGGGTTAGCATGCTCAAGACCCTGGATTCTATCACAGGCCCACCCACCCCCAACAAAGAATAAAATAAAAATAAATATTTTCTTAAAATTATACAAAGCCCAGTGGCAGCAGTACTTTCTTAGTTGTATAAAAGGTAAGTATTCTAATTTATAACATTTTTCTATATAATGTGCATGAGGATAATTTCTTCCCAAGTAGAATTATACTTTAGAGTACAGAATATTAGATAATGGAATAGAGATACCTAGTCTACATAAGTACCTAAAATGTTGAAACCATTGGGACAAATGGAAACCAAAGTGATTTCTGTTTTGATGTTTACTAAGAACCATTAAACTTTTTCAAAGTTTTAGAAATTTATTATTTTTATTTTATGTGTATGAGTGTTTTGCGTTCGTGTAACCATATCCATGTCATGCAGTGCCCGAAGAGGCCAGAAGAGGGTGTTAGATACCCTGGAGCTGGAATTACTGATGGTTGTTAACTGCTTTGTGGGTGCTGGGAATGGAGCCTGGGTCCTTTGCAAGAGCAGTGGTGCTCTTAACCACTGACTGAGCCATCTCTTCAGCCCCAAGAACCATTTAACTTTGGATGCTATTATAATGCCAAGAATCTGATGCATTTAAGTGTGTAGTGTTCACAGATTGGCCAATTTGTTCCTAATTGAGGTGATTATTTAAGAAACCTAAAGTCATTACACATAGTAAATATTGTCAAGTTTCTGCAAGCCTTAAGATTATGAAGGAGTCATAATTTATTTGCCAACTGTACTTCATTTTGTGTTTATAAAAAAGTTTTAATTAGCATTTTATTCTTAGAAACATTGAGAAGCAGTAGGTTGAGCTATTTTGACTGTTCATTGTGTTAAAACTATAACTTATTCTACTTTGACTGCATGTTTTCTTTTCCATGATCTCTAAAAGAAAAAACTTAGAGTGTATAATTTTTATTTTTTATTTATTTATTTTTTTTGAAACAGGGTCTCCCTGTAGCTGCAGCCGGCCTGGATTCATTATGGAGACTAGGCTGGCCTCAAACTCACAGGGATCCACCCGCCTCTGCCTTCTGAGTTCTGGAATTAAAGGCATGTGCCACCTGGCTTTTTAATATTTTATCTAAAAATTTTAAGGTAGTATTCATTTAGTTGGCATCTTTTTTTTTTTTTGAGACAGGAGTTTATGAATCCCAGGGTTGGCCTCAAATTTGCTATGTAGCCAAGACTGGCCTTGAACTTCTGATTTCTACATTACCACCCCAGATTTATGAGGTTCTGGGGATGGAACCCAGGGCTTTGTACATGCTAGGCAGGCACTGTACCAAGTAAGCCACACCCTCAGTCCCTAGCTGATATGATCTTTAACCATTTTAAGTGCAGCTGACACCGTGATGAAGATTGCCGGTCACTTTTCTGATGTATTTGAAGTTTTGATTACTCTTTACCATTTGTTATCTTTTCTGGGTTACTGCGCCTCAAGATTAGTACAATAGGTAAATCCTTTTCAGTTGTCTTCTGGCTTTAAATCCCTTGCTGAGACAGTTTAGCATTGTGGCCTTTGGAAGCAAGTACAGCTTTTTTTGGTTTTTTTTGGAAGAGTGCCATGGAACATTGGAGTTGCTGGTAGCTGGAAAACTTTGAGAATTACAAATTCAGCAGAAAGTGTTGTGTTGATTTGAAAGTCCCATGTTTCTAGATCAGTGATTCCCAGGAGACATCTCTATTTTTTGACAATTTCTTGGGCTGTTTTCTGAACACTTGCTGCAGATGGTATAGTGCTCACTGAGAGTAGTGCTTTTCAAACTTAATGTGCATATGGATTCCCTGATAATTGCCGTAAGATGCAGATTCAGTAAGTTTGGGTTGAGTCTGCATTTTAATCAGATGGTATACTGTTTGGAAGACCACACTCTTAATAGTAATGTTCTAAAGCTGTTGTGTCCCTCAATTTTGAGAAGATTACCTTATTCAGTGCTTGATTCTTAAACTAACCCCCGTTAGAGCAGAGCACTTGATTTGTTTCTGCTTTGATCTTATAAGTATGAATTAACACTTAGTGCTTATGGTCTATGATCCCATTCACCCACCCCCCGCCCCGGCCCCCATCAGTTCTAGTGAAATTTTTGAATCTGCCAGAGAGGAGAGCCTATTAATAACAGGGTGTGACGGAATAGAGATTTTGGGTTTTTGGTCAAACTTTCTTGATCTTAGACAAGTTACTCAACTACATGTGGCCTCTTTCCTCAGGTTGTTACGAGAATGCAGAGGATAATCCTTTTGGCACTGTGTGGACATTAAAGCTGGGTGCGAATACTGCCTTGGCCCAGGTCATTAGGATTCTGATGGAAAGTCAGGAGATTGGCAGTGGAGGCCTATTGCCTGGGGGAGCTCCTGAGCTGAGCTGATTGCCTGGGGGTACTCAGCATTCTGCTCCTTCTTTGTGCTGCTTCTCTTGCCCCCCCCCCCCCCATTCTGTGGAGCAGAAGCAGGCTCAGAGGGTTCCTCTCTACTTCCCAGTCTTAAAAACAAGTACAGAGCTTACTTAAGGGTTTTTACTGGCATCACAAGGGGGAAAAAGAGAAAATGCTTCTTTCCTTTTATTTACTCTCTATCTCCTGTTAGATTTATCTGGGAAACACACACAGTTGTAATTTTCTTTTTTGAAAAAAAAAAAACAAAAAGAAACAAAGCTAAAGCATAGATTTGGATATCTAATATGAATTATAAGAACACATTAATTAATTAATTAATTTATTTATTTATTTATTTTTGGTCTTTTTGAGACAGGGTCTATCTATAGCCCCAGCTGTCCTGGAACTCACTATGTAGACCAGTCTGGCCTTGAACTCACAGAGATCCACCTGCCTCTGCCTCCCAAGTGCTGAGATTAAAGGCGTGCGCCATTTTGCCTGGCTTATTTAGGATTTTTATTTTATTTTTAATTTCTTTTTCATATTTATTTTTATTTTATGTGTATGTGTGTATTGCCTGCATGTAAGTAAATGCAGTGCCCGAGGAGGACAGAAGAGGCCGTCAGATCCCCTGGAACTGGAGTTAAGGACAGTTGTTAGCTGCCATGTGGGTGCTGGGATTCGAACCCGGGTCTTCTGCAAGAACAACCAGTGTTCCTAACGGCTGAGCCATTACTCCAGCTCCCTTATTTGGGATTTTTAAAAGAGAAGGAAAGCCACCACTTGTTTCTGCAGTAGGTTTTAAAATGATGAAAAGATGTCTATAGATAACATACATTTTCAGTTAGTGTTGAAACACATAATTGCTGATGCTTAGTCTGCTGATACTTTTGAGGCAAGGGTAGTAGTTAAACATTCAGTAATACCATCATCTGTACTTATTATGAAACAGTTGTTGAGAAAACAAAATTGGCTTGAGTAGTTCATCACTATGTGGTATATTTTTCTGAGTGAAAAACTACAAAAATTGCCAGTTTTGTATGCTTTCAGATTTTCAAAATAAATTAGCTTTAATTAGAATCTGAAAAAAAATAAAATATTTTACTTACTATTTTTATTTTATGTGTATGAGTGTATTGCCTGCATGTATCTAAGTGTACCCTTGTCATGCAATGCCCATGAAGGTTAGAAGAGGGCATCAGATTCCCCTGGAATGGGAGTTAGGGACAGTTATCTGCCATGTGGGTGGTGGGAATTGACCTGGGTCTTCTGGAAGAGCAGCCAATGCCCTTAACCACTGAGTCATCTCTCCAACCCCCAGAATCTGAAAATTATACCATTAACATGTATAGTTTGCAGGAGTCCTTTTTTGCAACTTCGCATATTTTTATATTTTAACTTATAACTTAATATATATACATATATAAAATCAGGAGCACAGAATAACTCTAATCCATGCTATTAGACTAAAGCATCAATTTTAGCATAAAAAGGGAGGGAAGATTACAGCTAGCTTCCAGTTTGATGAGAGACCCTGTATCAAAAAATAAGATGGAGCTGGGCGTGGTGGCACACGCCTTTAATCCCAGCATTTGGGAGGCAGAGGCAGGCGGATCTTTGTGAGTTCGAGGCCAGCCTGGTCTACATAGTGAGTTCCAGGACAGCTGGGGCTACAAGGAGGAGAAAGCCACCTCATGCCGATTTTTGGCTTCGTGGATGCACATGCATTCCCACGAATTCATACACCACACGATGACAAAAATAGTTTTAGTATGTCTCAATGTGATTATTTCTTTTAGTATTTCACTTTTATTAAACACATCAGCTTGCTTAAATATAAAATGCTTAATAGCTTTCTTTTTCTTGCAGTTCCTTGGACAGTAGTACAGGTAGAGGCCATTTCAGGGATAATTTGTAGTGTATATTATGTCAAAAACTCTGATGGGGATGCAGGAGAAATGGCTCAGCGTTAAGATCACTGGCTGCTCTTGCAGAAGACCCAGGTTCAATTCCCAGTACCCACATGGCAGCTAACAACCATCTGTAACTCCAGTTCCAGGGGATCCAGCGGGCACTGCACAACATGGGTGGTCTTGGACACATTACTTGGCTATTGGGAGTAGAATTTTTGTGATTTTTCAATGTATTTCTAACATAGTGTTAGTCTTGTCAGCAGCCACCTTATGAGGTAAAATGAGGTGACATTCTATGTTCAGAGAGAGCCACTTGTTTCTCCATCAATCGATGGGTAGGTCTGTGGAGAAGGTAAGGGTATGGGTTGTGGGGTTAATTTTGAATACTAGTCATACTTGTAGGACTGATGGAGAGGGTCAGGGAAGTTCAGGACTTCCATGCTCTCTCCTGCCTGATGGATAGTAATCACTTACTGAATGAATCAGTGGCTGGCATCAATGGAACACATAAGAGCTCATCTAGTTGATATGTCTAGAACTATTTGAATTTGAACCTCAATTTGTGATAAAGATTGTTTTGTTTTGATTAATCTGCTTGGTTGGGTACATGTTTAGGATTTAAAAAGAGATAGTTTTACTTTTTTTTTGGTCTTTTTGAGACAGGGTCTCCCTGTAGCCCCAGCTGTCCTGGATTCACATTTTTAAAGGACTTTTTTCAGTTGGAAGAACTTTATTGAAAGCCTTGTTTATACATGAACCTAATTTTTTGTTTGTTATTAAACTCCTCCTTGCTTAATGTGTTTTATCACTGTTATTAAGTCATTATTCTTAAATTTTTTTAAGGCTGAGATGAATCAGCCAATACACATTCATTGTAACACTATACAGTCATAATTTACAAACATGACATGATCTAGATTTCTAAAAATGTAGTATTTTAATTATTATTATCATTATTTTTGAGGAAGGGTCTCACCATCTAGCCCTGGCTGGCCTGGAATTTGCTACATATACTACGTTGGCCTCAAAATGAGTTCTTATTTTGATAGGTATATATTTAGCCTATTCACTGCCACGGAAACCTGCCTAAAGCAACTCTTTGGGGTCTGGACAGATGGCTCAGTGGTTAAGAGCACATAATATACTGTTCTTCCAAAGGACCTGGGTAGGACTTCCAGCACCCATGTCAGGTAACCCACCTGTAACTCCAGCTCTAGGAAATCTGGCCTCTGTGGGTGCCTGCACACATTTTGTAAAACTCTTGTAGACATACATACAAATAAATCTTTTTTTTAAAAAAGCAACCCTTTGCAGGTATAAAATTTTCTTCTTTAGATAAAATAATTAACATTCTTAGAGTCTTACCATTACTATATTAACACATACACATATGTAAATATCTGGGGTCTTCATTGGATTACAGATTCTTAAGGTTAGGGCCTATTTTGTTTAGGTGCTGGTTAGGTTTGTGAATAATAATAAAAACAACAATAATACCAGTGCTCCCTTTGCAGGTATAAAATTTTCTTCTTTAGATAAAATAATTAACATTCTTAGAGTCTTACCATTACTATATTAACACATACACATATGTAAATATCTGGGGTCTTCATTGGATTACAGATTCTTAAGGTTAGGGCCTATTTTGTTTAGGTGCTGGTTAGGTTTGTGAATAATAATAAAAACAACAATAATACCAGTGCTGCATTGTTCTGTTCGGTCTAATTCCTTAAGACTGAACAGAACAATGCAGCACT